AACATGCATTTGTCAGGAGTACCTCGCGCAAGGAGGAGAAGAATGGGAAAATGATGAGATGGAACAGGAGGAGGAAAGTGCCATCGAGCGCAAGGAAAGCAAATGCGTTTCAGGCCAGTGGCTTGATGCAGATGGGGTGTGGCATAGTGACGAGACCAGTCCATGCCCCGAGCCAGAGCCAGAAGACATGGAGCTGGACGATGACAAGTGGGATGAGGGCGAGAACGATGAGGGTGACAAGTGGGATGAGGGCGACAAGTGGGATGAGGGCGAGAAGTGAGATGAGGGCGACAAGTGGGATGAGAGTGGCAAGTGGGATGAGAGCGGCAAGTGGGATGAGAGCGGCAAGTGGGATGAGGGCGACGATTGGGTGCCCGATGAAGCTATGGAGTTGGATCGGGAAGAGGCCAACCCTGCAGTGGAGGATGCCTCTGCTGACAAGAATGATTGGCCGATGGACGCTGATGACGATGAGGCAGCTGCGACAGTTGCCGATTGGGACGAGGAGGCGCCCTCAGGTGAGTGGGGGCGCGAGAATGGAGAGCCCAGCTGGCCGAAAGCAGATGTTCACGACGTGGGGAGTGACTATCCCAACTCGGTCGATAAGGCCAGGTTGGACCTCTTTTGGAAAAAATATGTCGTTCCAAAGGAGCGCACAGTGCTAGGAAACTTGTCGTCCGATAGCTCGAGTGTTCAGCTTTATGCAATAGATTCATAAACTGCTGAACCGATGCCTGCAGGAGTCTGATGCTATGAAGCCCGAGAAGATCGCCGCAGCGAAGGCCGAAGCGCCACCCGAGAAGAACCCCAGCCCCAGCCCATCGAAGACCTCCCGACAACCATGAAGGACCACTGTATTTCGAAATTGGGTCTAGTGAAGATAAATAGTCAAAGGATTCACTAGTTATTCTGCTTAGCGACAAAGATTTCGAGGTTGAAAGCTGCACAAACAATCGATCTAAATAGGATATACGGAGTGAAACCTTTCGATAGATTAAGATATGCTTATGGTTAAATCATTAGAAATCCACGATGCTTTACTTACGGGTTCATGTACAGTCGTACAGACCGGTCGACAGGCAGAAATATAGATACACAGATGTAGATGGGGTTTGTCAATTCAGTATAATAAGCTAGAGAAATCGAAAGAGATTTTCATATAGACAAACAAAACACTGTATGTTTTTACCAACATAAAGTGTCTGCCGGCATGAATCAGGACATGCTGGGCCGACTTCAGACGATGAAAAATGACGCTGAGATGCTTCTGATGTGCAAGAAGCTCATCGACTCTTGGCCGTGATGTAGTTCTGTACTCTCCGGTTTTTCTCTTCGAATTATATAGTGCTTGCAGCTACTTGTGGAAATGAGGCATCGGCCTCATCCGGACCATCCTCCTCGACGCCCCCGCCCCTTATCCTTACTTGAATTGGCATATATAGACAGGCTTACCGGTCAAATACCAAACTCCCATAGCCTGCAGGCAGACAGCTCTGCCGACCGGCAAGGGTGGCAAAGGGGCCACGACTGATCCCAAGGCTGGTTTAGGGAGAGATGTGTGCATTCTTTCGTGTTGTATGTTGTGCGCGCAGCTACCATCAATCGAGCTGTAGATATCGTTTTCATCACTAATGCAATTGAGCCACTTCGATTATACGAAGCCAAGAATCGCATGTCTTGTTCAGGCCGGCGGCCCTCGACCTGCGAAGGATCTGACCCGGTCCGTGGAAGGGCCTGCGGTATCTTCGGCTTCATCAAAATTATCTATGTGCAGCCCAAACACCTTGTGATCCGTCTGTAAATCCCCAAGTAATGTTATCGGATAGCTAAGGAGTTCGAGATCCCCAACAACCATATGAACGGCGTCCGCTGTCTACCAGACGTTGTTGTGCAAGCTGCATTGGGAGGAAAGCACCGCCCAGTCAACCCCCATAGACAACGACTCCTAGTTGCGGCCCACAAAGCTGCAGCACCCAGTGGCCCTGACAAGATCCCAGCCACCACAAGCAATGCGCCAACCAAGAAAAAAAACCCGAATATCAAAGAGACGAAGAAAGCATCGGAAACAGCTACGAAAGCAGAGAAAGCTCCTGAGGAGAGCCCGCTGGCCACCCCTGATTCCAGCCCCAAGCCCACAACGAGCAACGACAAGCCAAGCAAGCAGAAACGAGCGCCGTATCCAGACACTGCATACAACATCGCAAGGAAGCAATTCTTCTCTTTGTTTCTCGTCTCAATTCAACCCAAGATTTCAGATAATGATATTAAACCGGTCCGAAATGTTGAGCTCCGGGCTTCGGGATGATGACTACCTAAACTGACTTATAGCTGAGGCTTCCCAATGATCTCCGCCAATCCGAGAAGCAGTCCAGGCCAGGCATTTTGGAATTAAGCCAGCCCTAAGGACCTATATCTATATCTATATTTATATCTATATCTATATCTATATCTATTTCTATATCTATATCTATATCTATATAATATATATAAACCCGAAACCTCGCAAACCCCAACCCTAAAACGTGTCTGAGCGTCGATCTTGATGTATACAGATCCACATGTCCTGCGGTTTGGCAGTTCGGGTTTCGGATTTAAGGAGTTTAGGGTTCAGGGTGTTTGGGTCTAGGGTTTAGGATAAAATTGCTGTCGCTCTCTAATCTCTCTCTTTCCTCAAACCCACAACCCTAAGCCCTGAAAACCCCAAAACCCTTAGTCCATGCTTGCTCTCTTTCTTTGCAGTAATCTGAATTTGACATCCTGGTATCGATCTTAATTGAGGCTCGGACCCATCTGACATCCCAGCTCGACTTCTGAGTCTTATATTGAAGGTTGCTGAAGTAAACTATTTAGCCTGGCGGTAGTTCGCGATCTATAGTAAAGACTCCAGGCTTCGTACCGGATAGGGTTGATTATTGGAAACCCATGGGTTTTGCTACCAGGTTTCGCCCGGCGTCGTTACTGAACCCCTAATTAAATCCTAAACCCTAAACCCTATGGTGATCTGTGATCTAGGAAAGAAATCTTCATCGGGTACTCTATAAAGCCACGCAATTCGGCACTGCTGTGATATTTCATTCAAAGCCATGCCAATTAAATACAACTGAACCTATTTACACTCTTGGGTAGTGGAAATACTGAATGATGGGTTACATCGAAAGTTGGCACAGTCTTTCAATTGCGGTTGTAGGAAGATCCGACCACCGGTCCTCCAATCGTCCATCGATCATGGATCTGCAACCTTAATTGCAGTGGGTGCCAGACACAGGGCGGGGGGTGCTAAGATAGATCGAGGGAGGGAGCGAGAGAGAGAGGGAGAGATCCGAGAGAGAAACACACACAGACACACAGACACACGCGGTGTGTGTGTGTGTGTGCGTGTGTGTGTGTGTGTGTTTGTGTGAACATGTGTGTGTGTGTGCGGGTGTGTGTGTGTTTGTTTGCGTGTGCATGTGTGAGTGAGTGAGGAATTAGTGATTCGATGACAGAGTGTGTGGGTGAGTGAAAGCTCGAAGATCCGTATATGTGTGTGCACATGTGTGCATCTATAGTTGTAGAGTATTGTGTGATAAGATGCACAAACAAACATGAATTCCGGAGACCTTGAAGCCAAAACCCCTACAAACGACCACAAGTGAGGATAGAGGCCGGGCATTTGTATGGATACCAACCCTGACCTGTTGCCCCCTCAAGCCTAAACCCTAAACCCTAGACCCCTAAACCCTAAAACCTAAACCCTAAACTCTCTATAAATGCATCAAGAAGTACGACTTCAGCTTGTAATGGCATGCGACCGATGCCGGCAAACGGAGAGATCGTCTGCTTCGGCGGCAACAGCTCTTGCCGATTGCGGGGTTGCTGCACATCTGTGCCCAAAGAAACTCATGAAGCGGACTTTAGATTGCTTTCGGTGTACGCATAAGCTTTGGGCTTTGTTTTTTGTTCTTTGCTTGAAGACTAGAATAGAGAAAGTCTCTATAGATACGTCGGGTACCGGGATTGGCTGCGTGGCTTGAAACTCTGTTTGAGGGGCACCCCCCCTATAATTACGATGAGTTTGTATGGACATCCGATCTATCCCTTTGCAGCCAAAGCCCAGCAGAATCCCCAAAGCCATTGTGGTTATATGTGTGTCAGCGCATGTGCACGGATGCACGCGGTGGCGATCTTGGAAGAATGAATTCAAGCATCTACATGCCACTACATGCATGGTAGACTTGATAGATTACCGGTCGTTAGAGGTGGTGTTTTGGAACACGCACAACTCTAGGCTTTAGGTATTGCCCCAATTAAGTTGATTAGGTTCCTTTATAGTCGGGCTTCCTTCTGCTGGAGCGGCCAAGAAGCTTCGAAACATAGGGCACAGAATCGTCCGCAGGTGGAAGCAGTCGCAAGAGCACCAGGATATCATGGAGACCCTCAGCATCAACGAGCGCAAACGCCGCCGTTACGTTTAAGTGGCTTTTGGGCGTAGTTTTGTTGCAATTCGGTGTGCTTGATTTGCTGCAGTGCCGTACCACGCTCCGAAGCTGGGGATTGCGTTGACTGCATATGTTCGAGCCTGTATACCGGTCATATAGATCTCTGACATGAAATATGGCCAACGCAGGGGGCTTCGATCTAGCAATGTATAGCAGCAGTGTGCTAGCACACAGACTCTGCATACTGTGAGCTCGTGGAGATGCGATTCCGGAGATTCGTGATCGGGGATCTGGAGGCCTTGCAAAACATTTGTGCAATATGAGTGCCAACAGCAATGAGCCTAGCTTTGCGTGTGAGTGCACTTGCTGCTCAGATTTCGGCTGCTTTGAGCTCGATGGGTCATTTGGGGAACCTCACAGCACAATCCGAAAATTTAGGATAGTCCCAACGTTCGCAAGATACTTTTTTGGTGTAGATCGAAGCAACATGATGTTCACGCGGCTCTTGGTTGCGATCGCGACACTCCATATGAGCCACTCTGCGGCACCGATATCGAATTCCGATCCTCAGCTCCAGCTATCATGTCTTCAGGTTTCGGGCCGAGATCCAACGATCTGGACTTCGTAGAGGTCTTTGCAGGCAGGGCTCCGGAAGCAGGGGACCACAAATCTCCCAGCAGGGGACCACAAATCTCCCACCACTCATATTTTCCTGATGAGTCTTCGCTAATTTCTATGACCAATCTATATCCGACTATACCCGCACCGTATCACAAGCATAATCCCACACCACCCCGAAAGGCCGAAAACCAAAACGGGCACATCCTACATCGGCTCCAGGTGAGCACTTGCTCTACTCGGCAGCCAAGTTGTACGGGTTGCGAGCGCATGGCATCGATGAGCCTCCGTCCGCAAGATTGAACCTAGGATCCCAGGATACCGACCTTTAGATAGCTGAGGTGGCCTATTCCAGGAAACTCGACCTGTTGACTGCTTTCGGCTTCCTAACTTGCCTGCACCTAGCAACTTGGAGGCATGCTCTCTGGATGTGTATGTGGGACCAGTCCTTTTAGGGCATATCAGTTGTACTATTTACAGTATGCACCCACTTAGGCCAGGAGACTTCGTCCACAAGGAATCGCCTGGTACGCCGTGCCCTGCAGCAGCTGGGTCTTCATGAGCTTTAGCCGCAAGTCTGTAGACTCTCCACTCTATTTTCGTCATACATTGAGACAAGTCCAACACACCGATCGAATTAGGAGCCGGGGAAGCTCGAAACGCAGGAGGTTGAGTGTCAAAGGCCGGGCGATCCCACAACCATCCAATTATTAATCTACAGTACAGTCTCGTGCAGGCAATCGCAGACTGAAGAAAGTCGTGACCGCGAACCGACTCGCACGGCGAGTTGCATACATGTTGCCAAGCTGCCAATATTGCCGAAGCAATCGTCTCTTCCATAAGTGCCTGCATATCCGAGAGCATCATTGAAGCTATGCATGTGAGGATGGAGTACCATTACAAATCCGGCACCCATTATATCCTGGAGAACCCCACTGGAAGCTTGCTTTTTGAGCTCCCCTGCATAAAAGCACCTCGGCTACTCTCGTGCGACTATAGATTTTTATTTATATTTATTTTTTATATTTATATTTATGCGTACACTAGCCTACGCCCAATCCCGAGTGAATTAAGGCCCGGCTGCGGGCGCACAACGCCGTCACTGTGAACCTATGCCTCGGTGCCCTTGGTGCTCCCTCTCCGAAATGTGTCTCCCGCCCTGTAAATATCGTTTCGGAGAAGACTGTAGATCTGCTATCCAAATATCCCGACAAAAGTAAACCCTAATATCATATTTCAGGGGCGATTCCAGCTTATGTGTCAGGTTACACTATGGGGAACAGTGCCGTTTCTTGGCGAGCTCTACCAGCAACTTACGGGGGAACGGAGGACGGCTGTGTGTCGGCATACAAATTAGGAATTTGGAAAGACAGCCTGGTTTTGTACGCCGACCCTTAAAGTTGAAGCCCAAAAGCACACAATTATCACCCCCAAACTCTAATCCCTAAACCCCTAAAGCCCGTAACCCCCTGAGCCCGAAACCCCTAAAGCCCTTAGCCCCCGAAGCCCTAAACCCCTAAAGCCCTTAGCCCCCTGAGCCCAAAGCCCCTAAAGCCCTCAACCCCCAAAGCCCAGCCCTAAACCCCTAAAGCCCTTGGCCCCCAAAGCCCGTACACACTCCTAAAGCCCTTTACCCCCAAAGCCTAAAACCAAGAGCCCCCAAAACCCGAAAAACCCCAAACCCTAAACCCCATAAACCCTAAGCCCTAGAAGCCCTTGACAAGGTGTGTATGTGCACGTACATACAAACGCACACGAAACCACCGAACCCAAATCCTAACCAAGAAGCAAAAGCGGTACACCCCAAACCTCCCAAACGTCCCAGAATCCAGTACTGTAATATATACCATTTTGCACCATCATGTATGTTTAACACCTGAACCCGAGTGTAAGCCTAACACACTGTCCCGCAGACTCTTCCGAAATTCGAGTTAATTGCCAGGTAACTTCATTAGTCGAGTTTCCAGATAACAAAACGGCTTAATGTATTAACAAGTACACTTATACTTCGGTAGTTGTGCCGAAGGCTGCCTATATATTCGGATCGGGAAATATGCATGTGGGTCTTCGTGCAAAGATTAGACCGGCTACCGGTGTACGATAATTTGCAACCAGGAGTCAAATTCGGCGTATCCAGAGCTTCCTCAAGCTGGACATCTCCCGTGGCTATTTGGATGCTGGAGGTCAGAGAAAGCGGGTGCCTGGGCTGAAATGTCTGTCAATTTGGAACTCAACTAGCAGCCTTCGACCTTGAGGTCGGTGGCAAAGATCTTACACGCTCGGGGGTATATCCGGGGACTATGGCTTTGAAGGTGTCTCATCTGCAGCAATGCATGTCCGAATATCTGTTCCAGAACTATACTAGACGAGCCTGATGCCGCTCTAGGTTGCTACACTTACGTCCGATCATCTGCGAAATGCTCCAGCAACGCACACCTCGAATGAGATGGATATGGAGATGGACGACACCGTGGGTGATGATGATTCTGACTCTGGTCTCGAGGACCTCGTAGGTGCTGAGAGAGCGGCCGTGTCATCATAGCGCTGGCAGCAGTATATAGCCCGGGCCAGAGTACATTGCCTAGGTTTTGGAGTTCGGCCATACCAATTTATGGGTTGGGCGATGGTCGGCTGTTAGAAAAGAGGGACTGCACGGGATATATTGTGATTGGTATGTGTTTCTGTCATAAAAAACTATCGGCGTGTATCTGCGTGTATCTGCATGTAAGCGGCTGTTCAAACGGCCGGTTAGCGTGTATCGGCGTGTATCGGCTGTTAGATATTTAAGCATGCCTTAGTAGCCGCGATCACAAGTGCTCAGGCCACAGCAGCCGCTGAACAGCTAGTCCCGCCATGGGAAAGGGAAGTGCTAAGGGCAAGAAAGGCGGCGCAGCCAGCTGCCCGGGCAGCCCGAAGTGTGTATCGGAAGAAGTGCAACCCCGACATTATGTATATGTCGGCAAAGTCCCAGCGAGCTCAGTCGACCCCACGGGTGCCACGGGAAAGGGCAAGCACGCCAAAGGATCCAAGGGAGCCAGCAAAGGGGATGCTGAAAAGGGCAAGGGCAAGTCCCCGGGAAAGGCCACAGACAAAGGAAAGGGGTACAATGGAGGCAAACCCAGCGGTTCGTCCCCCCCAAGTGGCAAAGGGCACGGGGATCCCAATTTCGAGACGCCCACGCCCAAGCGACGCAGCACCGAATGCTTGGCATCAGGCGCACCGCCAACCAGGCCAGACCCTAACCGATCCCCAACCCACGCAGAGAACGAACCGAAGCCAACAAAGGGAGCTTCCCAGAAAGGGGTGGCAGCCCAGGGTGGTAAAGGCAACAAGGGTGGCGAGGAGCAAGCTCAAGCTGCGAAGGGTGTCAAGGGCGCCGCTGTGGATGGGGGTGCCAAGGATGCCTTGGATCCGAAAGGCAAAGGCCAGAAAGGTACCACCAAGGGTGCTGCGCATCACTCGGATGGCAACGGCTCGAATGGTGGCTATGGTTCCATGGCGAGCAAGGGCAAGGGCAAGACAAAGGGCCCCGGGGTGGATCAGAATGCAGGTACGAAGGGTGCCGCGGATCCGAGCATCAAGGGCACCCGCAAGGGTGCTGTGGATGGGGGTACCAAAGGTGCCGTGGATGAGGGTGTCAAGGGTGGCTTGGATCATAAAGGCAAAGGCAAGAAGGGTACCGCGAAGGGTGCCGACCAGTCGGGTGGCAAAGGCTCGAAGGGCGCCGATGCTGTGGATGCGAGCAGAGACACCTCTGTGGATCACGGGGCCATGGATCAGATGTCTGGCAAGGACAAGAAGGGTGATCAGGCTGGCAAGGGCGAGAAGGGTGATCAGTCTGGCAAGGGCAAGACGAAGTGTGATCAGTCGGGCAAGGGCAAGACGAAGTGTGATCAGTCTGGCAAGACGAAGTGTGATCAGGCTGGCAAGGGCAAGACGAAGTGTGATCAGTCTGGCAAGGGCAAGACGAAGTGCGATCAGGTGAAGGGCAAGAAGGGTGCCACAGATCAGGATGGTCATCAGAAGGATGTTGGCAAAAGAGTGGCCGCGGAATCAGGGGATGAATACGATCGTCGAGTCTGTCGTCGTGTGTCTTTTGGGGCAGGACTGAAATTTTGCATGTGCACAACATATGGAACAACATGTTATTAGGATACCCATGTATGCATGTTTGCACATATGCTGTTCCAGAAGCGAACTGTTCGACTACGACATCCGCGACTCCATCGGAGCCGACAGCTACGCCCAAGAAGCTGCTTCAAGTTAAATCAGACATGTTATTCCGCATGACCGTATAATTCTACAAATACAACCACCAACCCCAGCAACTCAGGCCAATCCTCCGTACGGATACTGGCATCTCGACTTTGTCTGATGGCCAAGGGGCTATTCAGATGCAGCCATTGGCCACCAGAGTGGATGCCCAGAGAATTCCAGATGAGGTGCCTCAGTTGCAGTAGCAAACCCCAAGCCTTATATAAATCCAGATACAGTACCCTGTAGCTGCTCCATAGACCCTTTCAGTCTTGCAAGGTTTTCGAGGTTTAGGAGCTAGTTTAAGGTTTAGGGTTTGTAAGCGGAGGCACGAAAGCTCACGGATGAGGAGCGAAAGCAGATTGAGGCACGTGTGGGTTTTGGGGATACTATATAGTTCCCAGCCCTGGATCCTTACATAATGTCTTACCCAAATCCCTAAACCCTAAACCCTAAAAAGCCCCTCAAGCCAGGCCCTCACCGGACCCGGCGACATCCCGCTTCAGCAACGCAAAGCCATTAATGAATCGTTGAGACGAAGAATGAAGAATGGTCAAGGTGGGATACATGAACTCGATTCTAGATACTCGACTGCTCTTAATCGAGAACCAAGTAAAATCAACCTCACTGGAGGCCTACGGAAAGGGCTCGTGGCCCAATGGGCGGCCACTCCTCCGAACTCGATGGCTCGGTTTCTTTGGCAGCATTCAATCTCAGTCTTATCGGTATGGTATTCTGTTCAATGATAAATCCTTTATGCTTCAGGTTCGAGTTCCTGAAGGCATTCCTCCTCGACCGAGAGAACCTCTCTTCGATCAAGGTGGAGCCCTACTACGAAGAGTGCCTTGGCGACTTCATTCTTGCTGCAATCACAAATAGTCGACAATTTACATTTCTGGTATCCTCGCTAGGCTTTCGGAGACGCAAGAGAAAGAAACGTACACGGAATTGCCTCTCTGTCTCATCAAAGAGAAGTACGAGCACTTACCAGGAGGACCTGCCTTTATTAAGTCGATCTTAGAGAGTGGCTTGGCTCAGATTATTTCATCTTGTAATCTTCAGAAACAAGACATTATCGTTTTCATCAGAGTCTTATCTGTATAAGCTAAGGCCAGACCGGAAAAAGACATCCACAATCCGACTCGGACAACATGATGATGTACAAAGTTTTCGACTCCGTCAAAACTTCGAGTTGCTCGGTTGCCGTCCATTTATAGTCGAAGCTGCCTTTAGCGCGGCACTTCTCAGTTGCAGGATTATGCAGCTCAGGTGCCAGTATCAATCGATGTGGCAACCGCACGAGTGCCGCCATGTCCCCCTCCAACAACAAGGCCGAACGGCACGCGATAGCCGAAGTGCTGGAGGCAAAGGCTGCCAGCATGATGAAGCCCACCACAGGGAAGGGACTGTCTTCGAAGGGAAAAGGGAAAGGCAAGGCCAAGGGAAAAGGCAAGAAGGACCGACTCGATCGGATTAGATTCTCTCTCTCACCCTCACCCTCACCCTCACTCTCACTTGCACTCTCACTCTCGATCACTCTCTCTCACCCTCACCCTCACCCTCACCCTCCCTCACCCTCACCCTCACCCTCACTCTCACTTGCACTCTCACTCTCACTCTCACTCTCACTCTCACTCTCACTCTCACTCTCACTCTCACTCTCACTCTCACTCTCACTCTCACTCTCACTCTCACTCTCACTCTCACCCTCACCCTCA